ACACACGAACACATCTGTAAGGATTTCTTACACTCAAACACTCTCTCCCTTCTCTCTATTCCCTTTTAAGGTGTGTGCTAACTTGATCGTCGGAGGGTTTTTCCGGCCACACACCGCCGGGTAGCTCACCATTATTTGCTCGCAGGTGATCGGATATCGACGGAGCACGGAAGAAAGGAGTACGGGCTTGCCGGAATATTTGCTCCCCGCAGAGTACGGGCTAGCCGGAATATTTGCTCCCCGCACAATTGGCGCCGTCTGTGGGAAATTTTTCAGACAAAACCTTGTCTTCCAGGTTCATCTGATCGCCGTCCATGGCGAACAACGACGAATTCCCGTTGTCCGCCATCGACGGAGCCACCCCGGAGTATACCCGAAGGAGAGAGGGACCTCCTGCCGTCCATCCAATGGCTGACTTGGGGACCCCCACTGGAGGACAGTCAGGGGACGCGCGGGATAAGCGCGGAAGGAGTCATGGTCATTCACGGAGTCCGGACGGTCACCGGTGGAGAGACTCACACGCCAGGCGACTGGAAAGCAAGTTGAGGGATCAAGATGCTGTCATCAGGCGAATGGCGGCAGGGATGGAAGATCTCAAGCGGCATGTCAAGGGGAAAGGTGTAGCTGGAGTGGGAGACCACAGTGAGCGCACCCCATCCCGCCGGTCAGGCGATCAGAGTCAGCGACGTACTCAGTCCATTTCCATCACCAGGAGTTACCAGGTTGGTGATTCCGACGTGCATGCAGAAAAGTCTAGCGCGCAAGACAGTACCTACAAACCCTCGCGTCCGGCGACGACGTCGAGGTATTCTTATTCAGCTCAGTCAGAGGACTTACGGGCAGTGTTAAGGGAGCGGGCTCGCCGTCGCGAAGCTCAGAGAATACCAGCTTTCCAGCGGCTCTCCTACGGGGTTCACGCCAGCGAGGAGGTCGGAATGCCTCCACCCCGCCAAGCAGTGCCAATATTTGAAGATACAGACCTGGCCAGGCTGAGTGCCACCCCATTTTCCATGGAAATAGAAACAACACCGCTTCCGGTAGGCTTCCACCAGCCTAAGTTCACGCTCTACGACGGCAAAACCGATCCTTATATGCATGTGAGCCACTTCCGACAGGTCATGGCCGGACAGGTTGACAGGTCATGTGCCTAATCTTCCCGTCCAGTTTAGGTGAGCTGGGCTTAAAGTGGTTTGAGAGGTTGCCGGAAGGGAGCATCCAACGGTGGCATCAGTTGGCCGAAGCGTTTGTTACGCGCTTCAAAACCAACACAAAAACACCAAAGGAAGTCGATCACTTGCTAAGTGTCAAGATGGAACCGTGCGACACACTAAAGGCATACAATTCAAGGTATTGGGAGACATTCAACGAGATCCTGGATTGCCCGGTCAACCTTGCAATCACGCAATATAAGCGTGGTCTCCCGGTCGGACATAGACTGCGGGACTCGCTTACCATGCACCAACCGACCTCCATGGGCCAGCTCATGCAGCGCATCAATGAGCACATCCGAGTAGAGGATGATGCGTCAGCTTCCACCGTGAAGGCCACTCCGGTCGGAACAGACAAGAAGACAGCAGGCAAAGTGCACGCAGTTGGGCAAGAGTCCAGCCGCTCAAATGACCGAGCAGAGGAATCAGACCGAGGTTCAAATCGTAAAAACCGGGGAAGAGGACGTCGGAATGACCGGGATGATTACCCCCGAGATGACGTTGAGGACGCAAACAGAAGAATGAAGGCGAGGACTGGCATAACCACGGTCTTCAAAATTCCAATCTATCGCATACTTAGTGAAATCCAAGACGAGGAGTATGTCCGGTTTCCTGCTAAGTTGGGCGATGGACAAAAGGGGTACAATCCGCGGTATCGTTGTACGTTTCACCGGGAGAGGGGCCACCGGACTGAGGATTGTTTGCCTTTGCGACAACATTTGGAAGAATTGGTTGCGGCCGGGCATCTGGACCTTTACATTGATGGCGGCGTGAAACCGAATCAGGCTCCGGTCGATCCCAGGGGACAGGGTGACCGAGATGCACCACCACAGGGAGTTATTAATGTCATCCACGGGATCGTGGAACCGGAGCGTGTCTGCGAACTTCGGGGCATGATCAAGAAGGCAGAGCATATGAGGGAAGTTTTGTCAGTACAGCCTGCCATCAAAAGGGGGAAGACAGAGGAGAAAGATGTGATTAGTTTCACCTCGAGGGATTTAGAGCGTATCCAGACGCCGCACAATGATGCTCTTGTAGTAACACTACGCGTTAAAGAATTTGATGTTAGACGGATCTTGATCGATCAGGGAAGCTCGGTCGAGATCATGTATTATGATGCGTTCAAACAGCTCAAACTCCGTGAGACAGACTTGGCTCCGGCCACTTCGCCACTGGTTGGATTTAATTCGCAGCCGGAGTGGCCGTTGGGAAAGATTATCCTGCCGGTCAAAGCGGGATCCGTGGTCAAGCAAGTGGAGTTTTGGGTGCTACAGGTGCCTTCAACGTACAACCTTATCCTTGGAAGAGGATGGCTTCACGCCATGCAAGCCGTAGCCTCGACCTACCACCAGGTGATGAGATTCCCCTCGGCTATGGGGGCAATCGAGGAGATTTGGGGTGATCAGGTCATGTCCAAGCAATGCTTCGTGGCGGTCAACGGGAGCCGGGCTGCCAAAGGATTCGTTCAAATGATCGAGGGACCGGAGGACCGGAGTGTCTTGGATGATGTTGGCACCAAAGCCGAAGAGAAGGCTGTTGAGGAATTGGTTGAGGTGCGGATTGATGCCGAGCAGCCGGACAGATTCTTCTTGCTCGGTTCAAGTCTCTCGGCCATGGAGAGAACCGAGATGATTGAGTTTTTGATGGCGAATATCGAAGTCTTTGCATGGTCGCCCTACGACATGCCTGGCCTTGACCCAAGCTTTATCTGCCATCACCTCAATGTCTTCCCTGGAGCAAAGCCAGTCATCCAGCGAACAAGGAGATCGGCGCTGCATCACGCCGAGGTAGTAGCAGAGGAGGTAAAGAACTTGCTTGAGGCACGAGCAATACAGGAAGTGCACTACCCTCGGTGGATTTCCAACACGGTAGTGGTGCCCAAGAAAAATGGAAAGGGGCGAGTTTGTGTCGACTACAAGACAGTCAACCGAGCCTGTCCAAAAGACAGCTTCCCTTTGCCGCATATAATGAGTATAACAATAAGTTCTAAAAAAATAAAAAAAAAAAAAAAACACTGGAATCAGTAATAAAAAAAAATAAAAAAGCTAACCCAAAAAAAAATAAAAAAAAATATAAAGTTAGCAAATTATAATCATTGTCAATAATAAAGTTTGCGCATCAATCGCAAGCCAGATTCAAAACTCTCACCTCCACTTGCAAGCACCACATTCAAACTTCACGTTCATCACATAAATACAGATAGTTCAACACACTATCCACATGTTACCTATGTAATGAAACCATTATAATTCCAAAGCAATGACCATAATAGAACCATATCACCAAATCCAATCAAACCAGAAGGCTTCTGAGCCAACCTTTTATGACAGATTTCTATAGGAGAATAAAAAGAAAAAGGATGAACACAATAATACATATTCCAGCTCTGCTTCTTCCTCCCAAGATTCAAATTTCAAAGTATGGCCTCAGGCAGAGAAATAATAATCCCGGGTAATCCTATAAGGTGTTGCAAAAACATACAGATCCATACAGGTCCATTTGTTACTGCCTCCCAAAAGAGTTTCACCTACATTTGTATATGCTTTCCAAAGCCTGTGAAGGCTTGTTAAAACAAAACACATCCAGATAATGGCTAGATTTGTTGCAAGAGTGCTTGGTTTAGCTCAAGTCAGTAGGCATGACTAGCATTCTCATCAATAAGTTTTATTTTATGTTCTAGTCCAATTATATAACTTTATGCTCAGAGAGAGAGAGGGGGAGAAAGAGAGAGAGACTTACTGTTCCAACAACAGATTTTGAAGATATGAAAGTGTTTGCTTTGAATCTGGACAACCCAAAATCACATACCTGAGCATAATGTATAAGATAAAGCTTGAGTTTGTTGTTTGACTAGCAACAGGGAAAAGATTATAACATTCATAGATGTACCTTCACCGTCCAATTTTTATCAACCAACAGATTTGGAGATTTAAGATCCCAGTGAACTACCGGAGGGCTAAGACAATGAAGATAGTTAATACCCTTGGCCTGCATCGAGTGCAATATCATAAATTAATAATACAACAGCAAGTGTTAACAATAGAAAAGGTTCATAACAGTAAAGCCCACTACAAACCACATCCAGAGCCATGCGTAAGCGCCTCCTTTGGTCCAAAACTTCACCAGCATCTGCCCTATGGATGAGGCGGTATAGACTACCCCTGTTCCACAAAATCAGGATTTGTGCAAAGTTAGCCTTCCATCACTTGCTTTAGATAGAAGTAGTTCAAATAATAAAATAATTCAGGAAGCAAATTGCTAAATTCACAACAATTTTGACTGCGTCCAGCAACACCTCTCTCGTTGCAGTACCAACCCATGTGAGAAGGATGGCAGTGGCACAGCCATCAAGACTGCGGGACAATGAATTAGGAACTCAAAAATGTCTTTACCTTGGTAGATATTCTGTCACGATTGACAAATGTGGCCGTTGTGTAACCGCACCCATGAAGAGCACAGCATTAGGATGACGAACACGCTTCATTATCGCAACCTAAAAAAAGTCAACTACAACTTAAGCTACAGATAAACAAGAAAGGCACTGAACACTTGCGTTTTGGAAATAAATGGATTCAATTCATAGCTCAAAAAATATGTTGATACATGAAACCACATGCACAAATCTAGCAATTCAGATGGAAGTTCTAATTCAATCAACACCTATCTAATAACAGAGCAAATACTCTTAATAGTGTCTACTAAATACATACCTCCCTCAAGAATTCCTTCAACTGATCATCACAAAAATCTTGGACTGTTAGAACCTTGACTGCAACATCCTGTAGCATGCAATATATTTTTCTTAAGGAAGAGTGAATACGGTGCAACAATCAAGACCAATACCAAATTTGGACAGAATTTCTGTCTGGAGTTTCTCAATAGGACTCAATAATATCCATTAATCACTTTTATTGTACCTGATAAATTACTAAACCATAAACAACAGAGAGTCAATTTGATTTTGTATGCAACAGTTCCATCACACTATTAATCGCTTTCTCATTGTGCCAATCAGACAAACTCCTAATGTCGATGCCCTTATTGCACACAATTTCTAGGTGCCTGGGATCCTTACACCTCTCAAGCCAGAAAAGAATATCTCAACATGAAACGTTGTTCTTTCAAGAGGAAAGATGTAGAAATGCATTAAGAGCGCATGTCTAAACGCTTCTACACCCTCAATAGCATTGATGATGTCAATTTGAACCAAGCCTGGTTACGACAAATTGGGCACTCACATTTTATCCAATCTGATTCCTGCGCTTGAAGGAATTCCCAAACAAAAAAAAATCAAATACCATATGAACACCAAATCAATAATCAAATTTTATTCCAATCCAAAACCTCAAATACAGAATAATAATCAAATCTCACTCCAACCAAACACCAAATAAATAAACAATCTCAAAACTAAAACACCAAATACAAAGTCACCAATCTGATCCCTGCGCTTGAAGGAATTTCCAAACCAAAAAAAATCAAATACTATATGAACACCAAATCAATAATCAAATTTTATTCCAATCCAAAAACTCAAATACAAAATAATAATCAAATCTCACTCCAACCAAACACCAAATAAATAAACAATCTCAAAACTAAAACACCAAATACAAAGTCAACAATCAAAAGCTCATTTAAAACTTAAAACTATATACCGATGTTGGAGCATGATTGATTATTTCTTTTCTTTTTTTTATTAGAAGTGATATATTGAGGGATGTAGTATTTTTTTAGAGAGAGGAGAATGAGAAATGTGAATTTTTCTTTTATATGACCCATTCCATATCAATGGGGGTGAATTGAAGCGTGCTCAATTAGAGGCTCTCAAAATGAGAGTGATATGTTGGGAGATGTAATACCACTCTAAAAATTAGTAGGTACTAAAAAGTCATATATATATATATATATATAATTTTGAAAAAAAAAGTCAAAATTTCTTTTAATTTAGTATATATTTTTTCATAAAAAGTCAAAATCATTTTAAAACACTTTATATATTTCCACTTCATAATTTAGTCAAAAAATTACTCAAAAAAATCACTTTCCAAAAGAATCCTGAGTTTGTTTTTTCTCATTATGGGCTATTTTCTCTCTTTTATGTTGGTAGTTGATATTGATTGGTGCAGTTGGAGTTGAGATCATGTCAGCATGTTTAAGATGGAATATTAATTGTAGGGATGAGGCAGATTGATGACTTTAAACAAATGAATATCTGGAAGGATTATTTAGTGATAAGGGAAGAGCAAACTATTCTTTCCCTTCTTCTCCCTGTGTTCGTCTTCATAAGACTCCTATGCCGAGAATGCTTGATCACTTTCATTATTCTCCTCAAGTTTCAATTTGTCTTGTTTCAATTTCTTTTCCACAAATGATGGGGTTCAGATGGTAGTGATTTTTCTGTTTCAAGATCTTCCATTTGATTTTTCTCAAAAAATAACACCTCCTTTGTCTAAGAAGGATGGATATAAACAAAGGACATGTAAATGACATGATAACACCTCCTTTATAAATAAATAAATTCTATCTGCTTCACCTTCTTTTGAAGTTCTATTAATTTCAATGTGAAGAATAGCATATGTCATTCTGCTGCACTATCTCGACATTAAAAAAATATATAGAACAGTCTTAAACCATGTATAAAAAAATATAAATCATGTATAATCATTTTTATTCTATCATATCAAACAGTCTTAAATCACGTATAAAAAAATATATAGAATTAATTTTATGATTAATTCTTTCTTTTCCAACTTTACCCAATAAATAAAGTCACAGTTATTGAACTAATCAAACCACAGAGAGAAACAATAATATCTAATCATGAATCTCTCATCCAGAAAAAAAACACGAAAAGCCAAAAGGATGAGGATCAGATGAGTCCGGCAAGTTGAAGCCTCAAACAACAAGATGCTGGAAACACACACAAATCAACCACATAAACTCATGCAAAATCAACCAAAGCCCAATCATGGAATTAATAACCAAATTCAATATATATATATACACTTTAATAAAAATCAAGAGAAAGCTATGCAATCAAGTGCATAAAAAGAAAACAGAGCGAAATCATACCTTCCCAATAGTAGATGCTGATGCTTGAAGCAGCCCATTTCTCTCCTCTAAGCTCTTCTGCAATCTATACATCTCCTCCTCTATCTTCTTAGCTTTGGCCTCTACCTAGTAAAAAAAAAAAAACCAAAAATACACAAAATTAGAGAAGGTCCCACAAAGAACATCACTTTATAGAGAAGAACAAAAAGGCGAAATGAAATGATTTTATTTCCAAAGTACACATAGATGCAAACAAATATACATAGAAACATATAAACAAATTCACATGCCTGTCTTGTTAGGGTTTGGAGAGCAAATGACTGTTCCTGTGAAGCGAGACGGCTTCAGACGTCCTTGCGCTCCACCGCCAACGACACCATGTTCCGCCGGAAGCTCTGTTTCTTCTCACTCAGATCCTTCAAATCGATATTTCTCGGTGCGCAGAATGCTTCGTTCCATGCAATCACCTCATTGTCCATGCGATTGAAGCTTCTGTCCATCGCGATCTTCCACTCATTCGTACTCGAATCCTTCTTCTCTATCTCTTCCTTTACAAGTTCATGTAATTGATCTCTACACTTCATCGCCACCTAAAAAGAAATCAAACACCAATTTTGTTAATGAAAAACAAAATAAAAACTTCATTTTTCAATTTCGGATCTGCGATTTGTGAGAGAGAAATCAAATCTAACAAAATGCAAGAGAGATCAAATCAGATCGAGTTCGGATTTTGATTAGATTAGTTCAACTTTCTTTTTCGATTTTGAATCTGCGATTTGCGTGTGAGAGAGAGAGAGAGAGAGAGAGAGAGAGAGAGATCGAGTTCGATGAACAGCTAGGGTGAGAGAGATCGATATTAATCGCGTAAGAGAGAGAGATTGTGTTACTTTTGTAATTGGAATGGGGTTAAGTGTCTGTTAAGTTAAACAGACTTGGCTCATTGAGACCATCAACAAGCATCACGCCTTGAAAAACGTGTTTACTATTGAGGTATACACAACGTTTTTTAAAACGTCTTGGTTCAAGCGCCGTTATAGACCACTTTTCTTGCAGTGTTCCCTACTTTGTGTGTTTCATTGAATATAATATTTCTTTCTCATGCAAAAGGATTTATTGTAGGCAAGGCCAGTGTTCAACAAAAAATTCAAAACTATTGTCTAGGAAAGAAGTTTATTGCATTTATATATGGGATGGGTGTGTAGTGGTGGTAGTTTCATGCATTTATATTTGTTTTGCTTCATGCATAAGAGTTGAATTTATTCCTATCTTCTGTTCGTATTTATGCAAAAATTTCTTGAAATGCTATGGTTGACTTATGTTATTGTTGTTGCAGATCCTTATTTTTCTGAATGAAGTGGATTACATATTGGCCAAGCAACGACAATGATGTCAAGAGCTGGGATGTTTCACGTTTTACGTGGAATTGTTGTGGATATGAATAACAGAGTATTTGAGCTACCTTCCTTTCATGGTATAATTTTCCCTCCAAATATGGCGAGCATGCTTGATATTGATTATGATTTTATTGCAAGGAAATGATTTGGTGTGAAATTTAATTATGGAGTTCTAGACTCCCTCACTTTTCAGTGGTTTCTCAACTTGTAATGGTATTAGGCAAATGCATCTGTTTAGCAGTACAAATCCTTTTGTTTATTAGTTCTTGATTTCCCCCTTGTTGGTTATTCACTATAATGTAGTCTCTGTGTTTGTTTCAATGTTACCTGGAAGGTGGATCATTATGGTAGGCAGGATAGGAGCCAAGGATAAAAAATTCGTTTCGGTATTTTGTTTTGGTTAGCATGGAAACAATTTTTTTTTGAAACATTTCGGAACAGAAACATTTCAAGAACATCAGTGAAATGACAAAGGAATTGGAAAATATATGGAAATGTTTGTAAACAAAACAAAAACTTATATAAATGTTAATAAATTTTTAATTGTTAATTACTTGAGCATGTTGAGGTCTATGAACGAACATGAGATTCTATCTTAGGTTTACGATGCCACCTTCAAGAGACTTTACTTACCAAGCTAGCTGACACCTTCTTTAGGTTGTTATGTTTAGAGTAAATATTATAAACCATTTTGATGTTGTTTCATTTCCATTTTGAGCATCTTGTGTTATTGGGACTATTGCTTACAGTATATAATTCAAGCTTTAATGCTTGCTGTTTACAAAGTACTTATTGTTCTTAATCATCTGTTTCTTGAACTTTTTGGTTTTCAGATGTTCTGGACGGGGAAATATTTCTGCAAAATCTGCCAAGCATTATCACCACACACGCCCTTGGTAATTCTCTTAGCATCATAGTTATTCTGACTAATTTGTATATATGTTGTGGATGGGAATTCATTTTGCTCCGACCATTTTTATTTCACAGATTTAGGGCATTCTTTTTCCTATTTGACCTGGCATTCTTTAACAAAAATTTGCAAATAGTGAGTTTTCAATTTATGTGTTTGCTTTGTTTGATTTTTCTCCAAAGGATTCATGAGTTGTATCATCTTTTTTGTTATTCCCTTGCAGAAGGAAGGTCTGATATGTTCAGATGTAGGACTTGAACACTTGGGCATGGAAGTAAGTGGCAAAAATTGTAATGCATAAATGTCAAGCATGGTATGGAGTGATTGTTTGGTGATTTTGGAGAATTACTTCACGCTGTTTATCCTTTGACACTTGGCAAGTTATCTCTCAAAATTTTGACTCGCAACTTTAACTCGTAAATATGGCTTGGAAATTGATGTATTAAATTCAAGTTGTCTCTCGAAAATTTTATAAATGTATAAAATATTCGGGACTGTTTTTTTCATCTATGTGGTCAATAGTGCCTCACTTACTACCAACCCATATCTTAGACATGTTCAATTTCATATTTGTTCTAAAAAATTTGTATTAAATCATTATTTTATATTTTTAGTAAGTACTTTTAATTTGTACAAAAAATTAAAAATTT